AATGATGGTGATGATGACGTCGTAGTGATTACAATGGTGGTGGTGATGACGTCGTAGTGATTATAATGATGGTGATGATGACGTCGTAGTGATTACGATGGTAGTGATTTTGATGTCGTAGTGATTATAATGATGGTGATGATGACGTAGTGATTATAATGATGGTGATGACGTCGTAGTGATTATAATGATGGTGATGATGACGTCGTAGTGATTATAATGATGGTGATGATGACGTAGTGATTATAATGATGGTGATGACGTCGTAGTGATTACGATGGTGGTGATGATGACGTCGTAGTGATTATAATGGTGATGATGACGTCGTAGTGATTATAATGATGGTGATGATGACGTAGTGATTACGATGGTGGCGATTTTGACGTCGTAGTGATTATGATGGTGGTGATGATTACGTCGTAGTGATTATAATGATGGTGATGATGATGTAGTGATTACGATGGTGGTGATTTTGACGTCGTGGTGATTATAATGATGGTGATGACGTCGTAGTGATTACGATGGTGGTGATCATTACGTCGTAGTGATTATAATGATGGTGATGATGACGTCGTAGTGATTATAATGATGGTGATGACGTCGTAGTGATTACGATGGTGGTGATCATTACGTCGTAGTGATTATAATGATGGTGATGATGACGTCGTAGTGATTATAATGATGGTGATGGGTTTTGATTACGTTGATAACTTTTTAAACTCATTTTTAGTAAAATCCAATTTTTACGTGAAAAGTTTAGTTCACCCGGAGGTTTATGGAATCCACTTTGCTCTGGCCGTCCAGGATAGGGCTGGAATAAAATCAACTCACTCACTCATTCATGATAGGCATCATCATAAAGCAGGGATATAGGCCTTAATAAAATCTTCTCTTTGTATTTACTTTTCAATTATAAACGCGTGTCAGTCGGGGCACTCATGTGTCGTGTATTAATGTATTTACATTTTTAGTAGATGTGAAACTCGGGTGTGTGGCGTTGTGGCTATCGGGCCATCAGGCGGCCATCTTGACATGAAAGCCCAGATGGAAGGCGAGATGGGGATTATGATGGGGCCATGTAAACACTCTCTGTGGGGCTAATCAGGAAGATGAGGATGCTGATATCACGCTGGTCATTCAGCGTTCAGGGGGATAGGTTCCCCTCTTTGATCCTCCCCCTACCCTCGCTCCCAGCACTGGAACAAAAACAGATATTTATCATAAATACACCAAGATCGGATCACGTAAACAACGACGAGAAGGGGCGGGAGTTTACGAGAGTTGCTAATGATGGGTGTACGCGAAGTAATTTCAGTTGTTTAGCTCTCGTTAAAGATTGCCAAAGACTTGTCAGTTCGATGTGGAGGAAACGAATCATGTTTCGGATATAATTTGAAATGGGTTCCTAACCTATTCAAGCAGGAATTGATCAGTTACTATGTAACGGCACAGTGTCGCATGATGGCAGGAGTATAGCAGGATTGTGGACTTAATGGATAACAACTTCTTTCATTTCGTGAGTGCGACGTTTCGACACAGAACAGTACAAGAATCTGTATCGAAACGTCGCACTCACAAAATAATAGACGTTATTATTCATAAAGTTTGTTCAGTATTGTACTTTCCATCTTCTAAAGTGACTCTCACTGATGTAATGAGTAGCAGTGTTGTTCTTGGTGAACACGTCGTAGTCGTTGTACATGTAGCAGTGGTAGAGGTCGTAGTCGATGTTCCGTGGCAGAATACAAGTACGGTAGCAGTGGTTGAGCTCGTAGTCGATGTGCACGTAGTTCTAAGTGATAGAACTCCAAGTACAATAGCAGTGGTAGAAGTCGTAGGCAATGTACACGAAGTAATGGTAGATGATAGAACTCTCAGTGAATACTACTCACGGTACTACAATTGTAATATGGCTACTGCTTTAAAGTATATTTTCAAATGCTATCAATATTTGACTGTGTCCGCTCCGTATTGAGCGGTACGTGATTCCAGTCATAATCGGATGCAACAATCTCCCATATCGCCTGAATATTTGGCATGCTGCTCGACTCCGCACTGTCTATAAATAGTTGTGTTTTATATACAACGAATTTATGGCGATTATATGTAGTGCGGATATTTGTACAGTTTTCATTTAATTCAATCTTTGTTATACACAACTGCGGTAGACTCGGGCCTCGGGGAAATTAACCAGCGTAATTGAGTTAGTCTTAGAAGGCGACATTCTGTCTTGCCATTGTGAAGAGCCGGAGTAGATGGAGGATGCTCCGCCTTATAAAAGGGGAAATTGGCTTATATGCTTACATATGTGTGCACTAAAACGATTAAACCAAACATGCACATATATAATTTAATGTAGGTATAGTTATATACGTGGGGGCATTTAGCTGTACCTCGTTATTAGCCCACTTGTGAAATGTGCTTTTACTAAAAACGTATGAAGTGTTTTCGTCTGTAAACCAATCTGGATTTGGCTTAGGGTTGCAGATTTCCTGATGGCACTTTAAATATATTTTAACAAATAAATAAATAAATATTGAATAAATAAATAAATAAATAAATAAATAAATAAATAAATAAATAAATAAATAAATAAATAAATAAATAAATAAATAAATAAATAAATAAATAAATAGCCGATTTCCTGATGGAACTTCAAATATATTTTTAATGAATGAATGAATGAATGAATTTAATGAATGAATGATGTGTGAATGACCGTCTTACGATGCAGAGACTATGTATATTTAGTCCTAATATTTAGATACAAATTTCTCCCATATCATTATAACGGCGGCGGACGATGAGTCAACCATTACTACTTACAGCAGCAGTGGGCGTTCCAGCAGCAGCCTCAGTAACAGCAGCAGGACACCGACGTTTCAGATGACATCGTTCTCTGGTTTGGAGATGTTAAGTCGTATGTGTGGGCGGTCTGTTTGAAATGCAAATACTGATTTCAGTAAAATGAGCTCATGGCGTGACGGTCACAGTGTGATATATTTTATGGCCAATTACCAAGATTATACAACAACGTCTGTAAGACAGCAGAATTCCGTGACTCACGAAATAGGCGTAATTCCTTTTCAGAAACAGAACAATAGGACCTCAATGTTCATTATTATTATTTAAATGACTGTAATTATTATTTGTTCACATTGTGCACACTGGTTTTATTGTCATTCCTCAACAAATATATCACGTGGAACATAAAAGAGCCTAGTAAATAAAAGGTATTACGAAGTATGTAAATATGACATATTCTTTAACGGCCTGTATTAATAATATCAATACTGCGATGTGTTTCAAATGGAGTCTCAAGTGGATCGCCCTATCACAGGTGCGCTATTAGACTAATGCTTAGTCTCTGAATATATGTAATTTTGATAGTAACAAACAAGCCCATTTAAATTGAAAAGGAGACCCAGGAGACCAGAGATTCAGAACCTGAACCTGAGGAAATCTAGACTTGCTTTATTTAGGGCTTTAGCACTGCAGAGAGGGCTTGGCAGTAGGGAAATAATGTGGTTTAGGGACTGTGAGACAGACTAATGCGCTATCTACAGATGAGGGGGTTTTGCGTGTATGTGGGAACTTAGAACATTGCCGGTGCTCTCTGACACTGTGAGGAGGCGAGGTCACTTCGAGGAAAGTGATTGGCTAATATTTCACTTCCGGGAAAATGGCATCGAAAGATGTTGATACGAGGGTGTGAATCTTTCGGAGTAGAAATTAGATGATTTTCCAGTGCTACTATCCACATGTAAGATAAAATGCACCTTGAATTGCAAAACAAGGCAAAACTGTCTCTATCACCTCGTTCAGTAATTCATGTCACTTCAAAACAATGCTTCAAACTTGCGAGCTATGCCAACAGCGTAGGAAACGTTGTCACACAAACTCGGTGATTAAAGTGACCTTGTAACGGTGTTAACCTTTAGAGGGTATGATTTATAGTGTTAAGGAGTGGGGACTTCTTATGAATTGGAAGAGGTCATTGATTTCTTACTATACACATTTTCTATGCAGACATTGCCTGTCTCTCCGCTGATCAGTGTCGGGCTTTTGACGACAAGAGACGAGAACCGTCAACGATTTTGAGTACAAATTAAACATGACACTGACACAAACTAAAATTGGAGTGGTGCCAATGTGTGCAGTATGTCAGTGTTTACAAGTGATGTGTTTGTGCGTTGATGGGAGACTGATAGTGATACATGCTGGGATAGAAACTGTTTTGCTGTTTATATTTAATTGTTCCAAATAAAATTAGGCCACTGAACTCCACACCACATGGGCATGATCTAAGTGAAAAAACAAAATGGAAATCATTATCTTGGTTAACCCCAGCTGCCTTTTGACTTATCCCACCAGGTACCCATTCACAGAGGCACTTTTGAACAAACACGACCACTTGCCTGAAGTAGCTTGATTGTTGTTATGTCAGCATTAACACCTGACAAACACATGCCACAGATTCACACTTCATGTTACATTAAATGTATTGACACTCCTACAAAAGGAAGATAGAAATGAACAGTAACTGATTCACACAAGCAGATTTACTTCCAGCAATACGCTATATTATTACACATCTACTACAGAAACATTTGAGAAAACTCTTTACAATAAAGATATTGGAAAACTGAGGTTAGATATGTTGTTGTGAACATTATTCCAAAACTCAATGTTGAATGTATGATGTATTGGATTGTATGCTATGGATCAAATGTTTTTAAAGCAGCAGATTTTGTCTGAGTTGAAAAGATGTATGGTGAATGGTACAGAAGTGTTTATTTTCCATGTACATTCCAAATGTACGGTAATGATGAAACTATATGGTATGCTTGGAGTAATGTGATCGAACACCGTTTTACTTCCGTCTTAGCCATTCAATATTAAGGTGCCTTTTTGATGTGCTATTGTTATAACCTGTATAATTTGTATGATTAAACACACATGTTGAGTGGTACAGACTGCCACTGTGTTATAGGTCAGTCATGATGTCACGACGTGCGATCCGGATTGCTGTGAATTCCAAGGTGTGGAAGCCGACAGAGAGAATGGACATTGGCGGCACAGTGTGTTCAGAAAGAAGAGAAGGAGAGAATTGGGAAATTTGTCTTCAAGAAAGATAGCAAGCCATCGATGGTGAGATGTTTTTGCCCCCATTATGCTTTCTTCAGTACAGAGTTGCCTCCCTTAGTTTAATACATACTGTCCCTTGGTCAGAGTGAGTGAGTGAGTGAGTTTAGTTTTACACCGCACTCAGCAATATTCCAGCTATATGGCGTCGGTCTGTAAATAATTGAGTCTGGACCAGACAATCTAGTGATCAACAGCATGAGCATCGATATGCGCAATTGGGAACCGATGCTATGTGTCAACAAAGTCAGTGAGCCTGACCACCCGATCCCGTTAGTCGCCTCTTACAACAAGCATAGTTGCCTTTTGTGGCAAGCATGGGTTACTGAAGACCTATTCTACCCCGGATCTTCACGGGTCTCCTGAGTCAGAAATGATAGGAAATTTGATGAAATGTTATGTGCACTCTACTACCAACCAGCTGTGTGTACAAAGAACAGCTTCAGAAGTATAATGTGATCACCTGAAAAGTGGTGTTTTTCGTGTAGTATTACTGTATCATTGCAAATCGGAATATGAGCATCAGTGTGGACACTCAAACCATGGATGATGATGACCAATTTGTTGATATGGAAATAGTCTGTGTCACTGAAACATACAAATGTATCTGAAATACTGTTGAAAAACATGTTAAGACTAACTCACCCTCTCACTCACTCACTCACTCACTCACTGCAACCCATGTTTGTCGTAAGAGACGACTAACAGGATTAGGTGATTATGCTCGCGCATATCATCAAATCCCATTTGCACAGATCGATGCTCATGCTCTTAATCATTGGATTGTCTGGTCCAGATTCATTATTTACAGACCACCACTATATAACTGGAATATTTTGAGTGCAGTGTTGAACAACAAATAAACAAAGGTTCATGTTATTGTATACAGGAACAACAAGAAGGCATACTCACTTGTATGTCAGAAAAACAAAATCATGATATGATGATAAATTAGTTTGGCTGGAAACTAAGGGTATATTGATCTGTGTTCAGCTTGGACGACTGTTGATTCGGAGGGTGCTGGCAGACATCACAGGGAGGGATTTCATCGACATCAGACTAGAGAGAACGGAGAAGGGGAAACCATTCCTTGAACCAACAGAATCAGGGGAAGATTTTCATGGAAGTTTCAATGTTGCCCATCATGGTGACTACGCTGTATTAGCTGTCGACACTCACCTGGCTGTCGGAACAGATGTCATGAAAGTCGAACACAGTAAGTAAATTATCATCATGTCATTGGGTGGCTCAGTTGTTCAGGGTGCTATAACATGTTGTGTCGAAAGGTCTCTAGGTTAGGTTTGGTTTGAAAAATTAAACTTAATTCTGTGACGTAACCCCAGTGTAGTGTTAGTTTCAATACACTTTGTACCTGTATGAGCAGTACTGTCCAGATTACAAGGGTTTGATTGTATGAGATGTACATTTGTATATGACAGCAGTCCTGTCCAGATTACAAGGGTTTGATTGTATGGGATGTAGATATGTATATGACAGCAGTACTGTCCAGATTACAAGGGTTTGATTGTATGAGATGTACATGTGTATATGACATTAGTACTGTCCAGATTACAAGGGTTTGATTGTATGAGATGTAGATGTGTATATGACAGCAGTACTGTCCAGATTACAAGGGTTTGATTGTATGAGATGTACATGTGTATATGACATTAGTACTGTCCAGATTATCAGTGTTTGATTGTATGAGATGTAGATGTGTATATGACATTAGTACTGTCCAGATTATCAGTGTTTGATTGTATGAGATGTACATGTGTATATGACATTAGTACTGTCCAGATTATCAGGGTTTGATGGATGGATGGTCACACTATTATGTTTAAATGATGGATGAAAGGGCTATTGGCCACACCAAAATTGCACCTTGTTATCAGTAGACTGTTACATACACGCCTGATGTGGATCACGTGATCCCAACATCGACACTTCCGGTGAATCACCAGCCTTGAAGATCATAAAACCGTAATGCTTGTTTTTGTTATTCTACCATGATAACCTGTTTTCTTCGGAAGCAAATATTGATGTCAGTAACGTTATGTTATAAATGCATATTTTATCAGCAGTGAAGCATATTTCAACACAGGGCTACACAAACCATCCATCTACGTCCACATGCAAGGGGGAGATTGCTATCTACTATGTCGTGAATTTGTCTATTATGCTGAAGGCTGTCAAACATTTTGCATGTAGAGAGAATATTGTCCAATAAATCAACAGCATACTCTGGGAGTCAGCAGGTGGCCAAAGTTATCGCTGTAAAATCATAAATAAAAAGTGTATTATATGACCATTAGCTGTAGACAATCTTTGGGAGTTGCAGGTACCGTGATGGAGTTGAGGTTGATATGGACGATGCTGTGCCAGAATCTGACTGATAACAGTTTTAAGTTTCAGAGTAGATATTTTCATAAATTATTTAACTCTGAAAGTTGATGTAAATGGCTACAGAATGACTGCGTGTTAAATATAGTGTTGCCATCATTTGTGATACAAGTTGACTTGAGATTCAGTTGTGTTATGTTAGATGTGAGGAGGATATGTCAGGATGTTGGGGAGGAATCGTGCGGTCCAATATGTCTAGGTAGCGGTTGTCAAAGACATGGGGTGGGAGAGGGTTGTCAAAGATGTTCAGGTAGGGAGGGAAAAGTCAAAGTTGTGGGGTTTAGGGGGGGATGTCAAAGATGTGTGGTGGGAGGGGCTGTCAAAGTTGTGGGATGGAAGGGTTGTCAAATATGTGGGGTGGGGGTTTAAGCTGTCAAATATGTGGGTGCTAGAGGCGTTGTCAAAAGATGTGGGGTGGGGAGGGAGGTATCAAAAATGTGGGGTGGGGAGTGTATTGTCAAATATGTCGGTGGGGGGAGGTGAAGTGTGGGGGTGTGGAAAGATGGGATGGGGAGGGCATTGTCAAATATGTGGGGTGGGGAGGGCATTGTTAAATATGTGGGGTGGGGATGGGGTTGTCAAAGATATGCAGATTAGGAGGGAGGTGTTAAAGTTGTGGGGAAGGGAGGGGCTGTCAAAGATGTGGGGTGGTGAGGGAGGTGTTAAAGTTGTCGTGTGGGGAGGGGATGTCAAAGTTGTGGTATAGGAGGGGTTCAATGTTGGTGGTGGAGGGGGTGTCAACAACGTGATATCCACAGTATATAGCATTGTCAGCAGACGTGATCCACAGTGTATAGCATTGTCAGCAGACGTGAGATACACAATATGAGCAGACGTGAGATCCACAGTTTATAGCATTGTCAGCTGACATGAGATCCACAATATATAACATTGTCAGCAGACGTGAGATACACTGTTTATAGGATTGACAGCAGACGTGAGATACACAGTATATAGCATTGTCAGAGATTGTGAGATCAAGTTTATAGCATTGTCAGTGGGGTGGGGGAGGGCATTCAAAATATGTGGGGTGGTCAGTGCAGATGTCAAATATGTTGGGTATATAGGGGTTGTCAAAGATATGCAGATTAGAGATGTTAAAGTTGTGGGGATAGGGGCTGTCAAAGATGTGTGTTTTGGGAGGGAGGTGTTAAAGTTATAGCATTGTGGGCAGGGATGTCACAGTTTATAGCTTAGGAGGGTTCAATGTTGGTGGTGGATTGTCAACAGACGTGATATACAGTATATAGCATTGTCAGCAGACGGAGATACACAGTATATAGCATTGTCAGCAGACATGAGATCACAGTATATAGCATTGTCAGCAGACAGTATATAGCATTGTCAGCAGACGCGAGAGATACACAGTATAGCATTGTCAGCAGACGTGAGATACACAGTATATAGCATTGTCAGCAGGCGTGAGATACACAGTATATAGCATTGTCAGCAGACGGAGATACACAGTATATAGCATTGTCAGCAGACGTGAGATACACAGTATATAGCATTGTCAGCAGACGTGAGATACACAGTATATAGCATTGTCAGCTGACGTGAGATACACAGTATATAGCATTGTCAGCAGACGTGAGATACACAGTTTATAGCATTGTCAGCAGACGTGAGATACACAGTATATAGCATTGTCAGCAGACATAAGATACACAGTATATAGCATTGTCAGCAGACGTGAGATACACAGTATATAGCATTGTCAGCAGACGTGAGATACACAGTATATAGCATTGTCAGCAGACGTGAGATACACAGTTTGAGCAGACGTGAGATACACAGTATATAGCATTGTCAGCAGATGTGAGATACACAGTATATAGCATTGTCAGCAGACGTGAGATACACAGTATATAGCATTGTCAGCAGACGTGATATACACAGTTTATAGCATTGTCAGAGAATGTGAGATACGCAGTTTATAGCATTGTCAGAGAATGTGAGATACACAGTATATAGCATTGTCAGTGAGATATGGGATGGCCTGGTATGTTGAGTGGTGGACCCTGCAGTCTATCTAGAACTACACGTTTCAGGAAAGGACATGAGGAAGTTTTTCTCCACACTTCGTCGCCAGATGACGGAGCAGGAATGGGAGACAGTGGAGAGGCAGGAGGGTGATGCTGGGAAGATGACAATGTTTTACAGATTGTGGGTGAGTGAGTGACTGTGTGTATCAAGACACACACACAGTGTGTAAGTGCAGTTAGCTCGAAGATGACACTTCACCTAACCTCATCCTTTGGATGGCGCCATGATGTGGTTGTCCCTGCCAATATTGTCCAGGTGTCATGGTTTCGTGTAGACAGGACGTTGTTTTACTTTCAGTGTCTGAAGGAGAGCTATGTCAAGGCTATTGGAATAGGAATGGGTTTTGATGTCAGCAGACTGGACTTCCATATCCCTACAGAGAAGCTGTCAGTGAACCAGATGGTCCGAGACACCTTTGTATATGTGGATGGGAAGAAGCAAACTGATTGGTTGTTTGAGGAAACCATGTTGGATGCAGATCACTGTGTTGCTATAGCGACCAGTATAGGTGCTACTGATGTATGCAAGGTAGGTAATATATCCACTTGGACACCTACATGCTCCAACTCACTCACTCACCATGTAATGAATGTAAGCCATGATTGTGTTGTTGGGTCCATTCAACCTCAAGTGTAGATCCTGGGGTAAGTGGACCTCAGTGACACCACAATGTACAGTCTGACCACAATGTTCAGTCTGACCATGATGTTCAGTCTGACCACGATGTACAGTCTGACCACAATGTACAGTCTGACCACAATGTTCAGTCTGACCACACTGTTCAGTCTGACCACAATGTTCAGTCTGACCACAATGTACAGTCTGACCACAATGTACAGTCTGACCACAATGTACAGTCTGACCACAGTCTGACCACACTGTTCAGTCTGACCACAATGTTCAGTCTGACCACAATGTACAGTCTGACCACAATGTACAGTCTGACCACAATGTACAGTCTGACCACAGTCTGACCACAATGTTCAGTCTGACCACAATGTACAGTCTGACCACAATGTTCAGTCTGACCACAATGTACAGTCTGACCACAATGTACAGTCTGACCACAATGTTCAGTCTGACCACAATGTACAGTCTGACCACAATGAACAGCTGACCACAATGTACAGTGGTCAGACTGTACTTTGCAGAACAAACTACAACATGTTTCAGTCCTACGCCTGTTCTAAATATGAGACATAGCAGTCCAGTTTCCGTGTATATGCAAGTAAACTGTGTACTCCTGAGGGGACATGCTTATTCCAGATTTGCAAAATAAAAGACAACCTCACAAAGACAATCTTTTGAGTGAAGTGATATTCCAGAAGTATTGGTTCAAAAATATTTTTATTTAAAAATCAATTGTTTCATTTTAAAAACATTTATAAAGATATTTACATCACAGGTTTTATCTTTCCAGTTTAATCAGTTGTGAATGTTCCAAATAAACGATGTGAACTTTTTGCAAGACAAACAATCGTTTTTCAGTAATTCATTTCATTACTCTTGATAGGATAAATTGGTCCTGTTGAAATATTGATAAATTACCCATGTTTAACGCTATTTTGATAAACTTGTTGGGTTACAAAATGTGTCACATTTAATTACAAGATAGCATAACTCAAAAGTCTCTCTCTTTATACTGTTTTCTTTGAAATGCTATTTCAACAAACTTGCGTATAGAAAACAGGATGGAAATAGCATTCCAGTGGTGATAATCTGTTCTTTCATTGACGGGAACTTGTATAAGCCATGCGCAGGGCTTATCTCTCGCTGGCCCTGCCGCCAGTGTCTTCCTGTACTTATCTCCAACCTTCCCGTATCTTTTGATTCTCCTTTGGAGTGGAATGTGATATGAGAATTCTCCTGACACTGTAACAAATTATAGATCCCACTTGTTGACAGTGGCAGGGAAATAGCATCTCCACTTCCTCTATACTGTTTACACAACTAATTAATTATAATGACAGCTGCATGTACCTGTCAGATGGAGAAGCGATGTGTTTTTATTCCTTGGATTAAGTGTCTGGACCATACATAAACATTTTGTTATAGACTATTGAATGTATCTAGTGTTGTGATCCTGTGTGATTTGTTTATTGGACACTGTTTGATCATTTCAGCATTAACTGTAAAAGTTTGGTAATAATTTATGCATCATTCTTGATTTGGATTTTTAAAGTGTTGTCGGTTCAAGTTAAAGCCAATATATCATGTGGTCTTTATCTGTATGTCATGCATCAGGTCAAGGTCATTGTTCGGGGTACGTGAAGGGGGATGGGGTAGCCTAGTAGTTGATGTGTTTGCTCCTCAAGCTGAGGACTCTGGGTTTGATTCTCCACTTGTGTGTGACACCCAGTCTTGGTGCCTTCCTTGCTATAAAGAGCTGGAATAATAAGCTACTATGTTAAGCTAGGACACCTTTGTTTCTGCCCTCCCCACTGATGTTGAAAGAGAACTGCCTCCCCACAGATGTTGACTTTCTCATAACTTAAAGGTCAAGATCATAAAGTTGAAAACTAAAACACTTTAATTGGAAAGTATTTTGCTTTTATCTGTATACTTGGTTGATGTCTTCTCGAGGATCAGTCCAAGTAAACTTAGGCTCAGTATTATTTGTTACACTGCTATACTGAGTCTAACAAAACCTTATGGAAGGTCGCGTCAGGTAACCTTTGAGCAACCTATGACCATCCAATCAAATGCAAGACGACAGAAAGGATTTAACTAATCAGTCAACGGCTACTATTTAGGGTTCGGCGGGACTTACAATATGGATTTACTCTTCCCCGGTCGCCAACACTGATCTCACAACAAATGAAAACCCGCATAAAACACAGACATATGACCTGCAGAATAAACGATGTGAACTTTTGCAAGACAAACAATCGTTTTTCAGTAATTCATTTCATTACTCTTGATAGGATAAATTGGTCCTGTTGAAATATTGATAAATTACCCATGTTTAACGCTATTTTGATAAACTTGTTGGGTTACAAAATGTGTCACATTTAATTACAAGATAGCATAACTCAAAAGTCTCTCTCTTTATACTGTTTTCTTTGAAATGCTATTTCAACAAACTTGCGTATAGAAAACAGGATGGAAATAGCATTCCAGTGGTGATAATCTGTTCTTTCATTGACGGGAACTTGTATAAGCCATGCGAGGGCGCCTATCTCGCTGGCCCTGCCGTCAGTGTCTTCCTGTACTTATCTCCAACCTTCCCGTATCTTTTTGATTCTCCCTTTGGAGTGGAATGTGATATGAGAATTCTCCTGACACTGTAACAAATTATAGATCCCACTTGTTGACAGTGGCAGGGAAATAGCATCTCCACTTCCTCTATACTGTTTACACAACTAATTAATTATAATGACAGCTGCATGTACCTGTCAGATGGAGAAGCGATGTGTTTTTATTCCTTGGATTAAGTGTCTGGACCATACATAAACATGTTGTTATAGACTATTGAATGTATCTAGTGTTGTGACCCTGTGTGATTTGTTTATTGGACAGTTTGATCATTTCAGCATTAACTGTAAAAGTTTGGTAATAATTTATGCATCATTCTTGATTTGGATTTTTAAAGTGTTGTCGGTTCAAGTTAAAGCCAATATATCATGTGGTCTTTATCTGTATGTCATGCATCAGGTCAAGGTCATTGTTCGGGGTACGTGAAGGGGGATGGGGTAGCCTAGTAGTTGAAGTGTTTGCTCCTCAAGCTGAGGTTTGATTCTCCACTTGTGTGTGACACCCAGTCTTGGTGCTTCCTTGCTTTAAGAGCAGGAATAATAAGCTACTATGTTAACCAGGACACCTTTAAGGTTTTGTTGAAAGAGAACTGCCTCCCCACTGATGGTGACTTTCTCATAACTGCTGAAAAGTTGAAAACTAAAACACTTTAATTGGAAAGTATTTTGCTTTTATCTGTATACTTGGTTGATGTCTTCTCGAGGATCAGTCTAAGTAAACTTAGGCTCAGTATTATTTGTTACACTGCTATACTGAGTCTAACAAAACCTTATGGAAGGTCGCGTCAGGTAACCTTTGAGCAACCTATGACCATCCAATCAAACGCAAGATGACAGAAAGGATTTAACTAATCAGTCAACGGCTACTATTTAGGGTTCGACGGGACTTACAATATGGATTTACTCTTCCCCGGTCGCCAACACTGATCTCACAACAAATGAAAACCCGCATAAAACACAGACATATGACCTGCAGAATATACGCTTTTGGGTTTCTGTTGACATGGTTATCATTAGCTAATATTTCCGCAAGCTGACATCCTTGAATACTGACGAAACGCTATTTTCAGCGACTGTTTACTCACGGTTGTGGTGTGCTCCATGTGCATCACTCAGAAAACGTTCATACGGAAAATAGCATTCGGAATCGTTCGGGTACAAAACTTTTTCGAGGTAAAAGTTCAAAAGATATGTGCGAATGTCAACTTTTGCGATTTGGTAAGCTGTGTTCTGATTGGACAATTGAAAAGGTTACTTGACGCGACCTTCCACAAGGATTTGTTACACTCAGTATAGCAGTGTAACAAATAATACTGAGCCTAAGTTTACTTAGACTGCTCGAGGATGGGACCCAGTTTTTGTAATATTTTGGTTTAAATAAGTCAAAGGTCAAGGTCATCATACCATTGTTAGAAACACTGTACATGTATATACATGGTGATCTTTAGAAGCTTTAAGGAAATATCAGAAGAGCTGCTTCCATTTCTGCCACAGCAGTTGAAAGAAGTAAAGCCTTAAAGCAGATTTACAGGGTAAAGTAAAACCTCAACATAAACGAGTCAAAATACATGCTGAAAAGAGAAAACCCTGTATTAACAGTGGAATGACACCACAGGAGTCGGGTTCTATGCTGCTTTTAGGAATATTCCAGCACAATTAGGGTGGGAAACACCATGTGGAGACTCAGACCTTTAGTGTGACGAACAAACATTTGATGTACTTGGCAACCATGCTACCCCAGAAGTGGGAAGAGAGCCTTAATTGATTCAGTGAAATATACGGACAGGACACTTTGTAGTTGCTTACATATCTTCTTCAGGAGTCTACATGTTCCAGTTCGTTTGATTTCTGGACTGCAGCAGACCTTTTGTCCCGGTGTCGCCCCCCTGGAGGGAAGTCAGCCAGACCCTGAGTACTGGGCGGTGTTTGATGCAAGACAAGAGGCACCCATGGCCCAGAGGTCATGACGGTCAGCAGGGAGATGTTAGCCCTGAACCAGGGGAGATAACTGTTGGACATGATGTATGTAGTGGTCAACTGTGTCTGTAGAAACGTTTGATGAATGAGTGAAGAAAATATTGAAATCATATGTAGATATGTTTTCATTGAGTTGGGTTGGATATCTGCTGAAAACAATATTAACCAAGAATGGAAAAAATGTATATTGTGAGTTTTGTCTGATTTTCACTTTCTGGGGACCTTGTCACTGATGAAGTCATCACTTCTTCATCTGATGATGACATTTACATCGTGATGGGGGACCCTCCCCAGGGATTGTGCACCGACAAAAGAATTGTACTGCAGTATATCTGGATTGCAATAGGTATTGAGATATATTGGGGTCAGAAGTGTTCGACTGTGTTCGACTGTGTCAGTGTGATTGTTCCATAGATTCTGTTTGCTGCCAACTGAAGTGAATGATAATCAGCATCACCAGTCGTTTAGTTGTCATACATGGATACTTAGTTGTCATACATGGATACTGAGTTGTCATACATGGATACTGAGTTGTCATACATGAATACAGGGAGGTAATAACAAGAGAGAAGACTATTTCTGTAATCTACATTTCGGAAGGGAAGCATTTGTAAATGAATTTCTGTATGGATTTAAGTTAAACAAAACAAAGAATTGTCACAGTTATGTTGCTTGTTTTACACAGTATATCAGACGGCTGAAACAGTATTACAAGATGTATTGTTATCCCACCGCATATAATGCGGTGGGATATAGTCATCGCCTCCGTCTGTCTGTCCGTCCGGTCCGTCCATCCGTCATTCCGTCCGTCCGTCATCATTTTGTTTCGGACCATAACTCAAAACCGCTTCGATATTTTTAACCAAAATTGGTAGATATGTCAAACATAACCTAAGGTGGTGCCTTTTGCTATTTACAGATAATTGTCATTTTATTTTTCTCGGTTTCCATGGAAACGTTTTGGACTTAGTCTTAAAGAAGGGTGGGCTTCGCTTTCGAGCATAACTCAAGAACCGCTCAATATTTTTCAACAAAACTTGGTAGATATATCAAACAGATCCTAAAGTGGTGCCTTTTGCATTTCACAGATTTTTGGCATTTTTATTTTTCCCGGTTTCCATGGAAACGATTCGGACTTAGTCCCAAAAGTGAGGGGTGGGCTTCGTTTCCAGAGCATAACTCAAGAACCGTTCAATATTTTTCAACAAAACTTGGTAGATGTATGAAACAGAACCTTAAGTGGTGCCTTTTGCTATTTGCCGATTTTTGGCATTTTTATTTTTCCCGGTTTCCATGGAAACATTTTGAACTTAGTCTCAAAAAGTAAGGATTGCTTTCGCTTCCGAGCATAACTCAAGAACCGCTCAATATTTTTCAACAAAACTTGGTAGATATATCAAACAGATCCTAAAGTTGTGCCTTTTGCTATTTGCAGATTTGGGGCATTTTATTTTTCCCGGTTTCCATGGAAACGATTCGACTTAGTCCCAAAAGTGAGGGGTGGGCTTCGCTTTCGAGCATAACTCAAGAACCGTTCAATATTTTTCAACAAAACTTGGTAGATGTATGAAACAGAACCTTAAGTGGTGCCTTTTGCTATTTGCCGATTTTGGGCATTTTATTTTTCTTGGTTTCCATGGAAACATTTTGGACTTAGTCTCAAAAAGTAAGGATTGCTTTTCGCTTCCGAGCACAACTCAAAACCGTATAATCTTTTTCAACAAAACTTGATAGATATATCAAACAGATCCTAAAGTTGTGCCTTTTGCTATTTGCAGATTTTTGGCATTTTTATTTTTCCCGGTTTCCATGGAAACGATTCGGACTTAATCCCAAAAGTGAGGGGTGGGCTTCGTTTCCGGAGCACAACTCAAAAACCTCTCTATATCTTTCAACAAAACTTGGCAGATATGTGAGGCAGATATTGAAGTGATGCCTTTTGCTATTTGCAGATATTTGTGATTTATTATTTTCTCGGTTTCCTTGGAAATGATTCAACTTAGTCTCAAAAAGGAAGGGATGGGTTTTGTTTCCGAGCACAACGCGAAAACTTCTTAATATCTTTCAGCAAAACTTGGCAGATATGTGAGGCAGATCCCAAAGTGGTGCCTTTTGCTATTTGCAGATTTTTGTCATTTATTTTTTCATGATTTCCATGGAAACGATTTGCACTTAGTCTAAAATCAAGCTGGACTTTAAGCAACTGTCAGATGATTTGTTCTTTCAAAGATGTGGGGGCCGGGGATATGTCATCTTCTGATGACTCTTGTTTGAATAGACAGTTGTATAAGCTGGTATACTAGCAACATAGGGCAGTTCTAAGGACCGGGTTCCGTAAGGTCGGATGTGAAACATCAAGGTCATATTAAATACTGAAATCACCAATTTCTCCATGGTAAGTGTAAATGATATTGGGGTTTGCGGTCAACAGAATGTGGAGAGCTTGATGGCACCGCTGGCTAGTTCCAGGCAGGTCCCCCATTCAAATTATTTAGTTATTCCAGAAAAAGCTGTATAGATGTAAAATAATGGTTTATAGGTTGGTTGCTTGGTGATAGTGTGTAATGAAATTGTGTTAATTATTTAATATAAACCGTTTATATCTTTGATGAATAAAACATGCTCTATATATATTCCTGTTCCTGTCTACTGCATCATGGGAGTTCTGCACAGTACACCTGTTTCGACAGGTCAAAAACAAATCTCTGATGGTGTGATGTTGGAACTGAAGATACCACCACGTGAGCTCATCCTGATGTGTAAACGTGTTGAAACCTTGACATACAGATATTTTAACAGTTGATTGTCACATTCAAGCTACATTTTAACTTTTATCTCCAGGAAAATAGTATATATTTCTGCAAGAGTGAGTTTCCCATGGTGTCAGGCTCACCCCTTCAACCTTTCAACAGGTGTGTCGAAGGAGGATACACCGCCCCAAATCTGTAAATGACTTGAAAATGTCTTCTTTAACAACCATTTTGGAGGCATCAATGTCCGCCTATCAGTGTGAAGGAGAATCTAGTTATTGAGGCATGATGGGATCATGTCTCCCAAGTGTGTGGCAGACCTGCCAAACTATCCAATGACTTCTCCCTGATTATAACACTTATCTCCGACAGCCATAAATTCATCAGATTTATGTCTCGAGTCAAGTAAGTATCTCTTCCACTGGACGGGATCCATGCCTTGTGAAACATCACGACATGGCGGTATTGTTGTCTCATCCTCTGCCACGTGAGTTATGTTTGGGTCACCTGACCCATGGAGGCGAGCGTTCCACGTTGTTGGTAGCTTGGTGGGAGTGACACTCGAGGAGTATATCATGCCAGCAGGGGGCGCTGTTCAGAATCCTTGGGCAGGAAGTACCTTGTTCTATAGCCTGAGGAGGTAGACTCACAGCTCTAAGGAACATGACAGTTGCTATAAAACGATCAGTAAAAGTACAGATAAGTAAGATAGTTCTGCAATCTTTGATAACTTTCCTTTCACCAAAACTTTTAATAAAACATCAACAGAAATTATGTGATTTCTGTCCAAATGGTTCTCATCTTGAAAATAGGCTGGTGTAAACTAACTGTACAATCACCATATTATAATCAAACTTGAACATAGTCCACTTCAGATTCTACAAGTAATTACGCTCATTTGCGTTTTCTAGCTGTTCTAAAGAGGCAATTCTCATTGGAGGTGGTGAGGAAGCCTAGCAGTTAAAGCGTTCGTTCGTCACGCCGACACCCGTGTTCAGTTCCCCTCATGGATACAATTTGTGAAGCCAATTAATGGTATCCCCCCGCCATGATATTGCTGGAATATTGCTAAAACCTGGGTAAAACAATACTCACTCACTCAAATTCTACAAGTTATTAAGTTTCTTTAGTTTTCTAGTTGCTCTAAAGAGGCAATTCTGACTTCCTTTTGTCCATTTGTTCTTGTAGATTAAATGGCTATTTTTGACAAGTTGATAAATAGTTTGCTAATGACTCCAATATTCAATGTCACAATATGCAAGTGAGACTGGTCTGTCACTGAGAAATATATTGACGATGGCGACATGATTGTGGGTGACCACGCTGTCTCAGTCTGATATTGTAACTGAGGCCTACTGACTTCGACAGGCTGAATCAAGTTTCACAACGAACTAATCTGATCAGGTTTTGATCTGATGACCACGTGGTTGATAGCATGAACACAGTATGATTTAGTCAGGCCTTGTGATGCTATTTGAGTCAGGGTGCAGTGACGCTATGTGAGTCAGGATGCAGGGACACTGTGTGAGTCAGGGTGCAGTGACACTGTGTGAGTCAGGGTGCAGTGACACTGAGTCAGGGTGCAGTGACACTGAGTCAGGGTACAGAGACACTATGTGAGTCAGGGTGCAGTGATACTGTGTGAGTCAGGATGCAGTGACTATGTGAGTCAGGTGCAGTGGCAATATGTGAGTCAGGATGCAGTGACACTGTGAGTCAGGTGCAGTGACACTATGTGAGTCAGGGTGCAGTGACACTTTGTGAGTCAGGGGGAGTGACGCTATGTGAGTCAGGGGGTAGTGACACTATGTGAGTCAGGTTGCAGTGACACTATGTGAGTCAGGGTGCAGTGACACTATGTGAGTCAGAATGCAGTGACCCTATGTGAGTCAGGATGCAATGAAACTATTAGTCAGGTTGCAGTGACATGTGAGTCAGGGTGCAGTGGCACTATGTGAGTCAGGATGCAACGAAACTGAGTCAGGTTGCAGTGACATGTGAGTCAGGGTGCAGTGACACTATGTGAGTCAGGATGCAGTGACATTATTTGAGTCAGGTTGCAGTGACATGTGAGTCAGGGTGCAGTAACCCTGAGTCAGGGTGCAGTGACACTGTGTGGGTGAGGGTGCAGTGACACTTTATGAGTCAGGGGGCAGTGACACTATGTGAGTCAGTGGCAGTGACACTATGTAAGTCAGGGGTAGTGACACTATGTGAGTCAGGGTGCAGTGACACTATGTGAGTCAGGTTGCAGTGACACTGAGTCAGGATGCAGTGACACTGTGAGTTGGGGGTAGTGACACTATGTGAGTCAGGGTGCAGTGACTATGTGAGTCAGGGTGCAGTGACACTATGTGAGTCAGGTTGCAGTGACACTTTGTGAGTAAGGGGTAGTGACACTATGTGAGTCAGGATGCAGTGACACTGAGTCAGGGTGCAGTGACAATGAGTCAGGGTGTAGTGGCACTATGTGACTCAGGGTGCAGTGACGCTGTGAGTCAGGGTGCAGTGACACTGTGTGAGCCAGGGGGCAGTGACACTATGTGAGTCAGGGGCAGTTACACAATGTGAGTCAGGGTGCAGTGACACCATGTGAATCAGGGTGCAGTGGCACCATGTGAGTCAGGATGCAGTGATGCGATGTGAGTCAGGATGCAGTGACACTATGTGAGTCAGGGTGCAGTGACACTGCGAGTTAGGGTGCAGTGGCACCATGTGAGTCAGGGTGCAGTGACACCATGTGAGTCAGGGCAGTGACACTGTGAGTCAGGGTGCAGTGACACTATGTGAGTCAGGGTGCAGTGGCACCATGTGAGAGGGTGCAGTGATACTATGTGAGTCAGGGGGCAGTGACACTATGTGAGTCAGGGGGCAGTGACAGTATGTGAGTCAGGGTGCAGTGACACTATGTGAGTCAGGGTGCAGTGACACTATGTGAGTCAGGGTGCAGTGGCACCATGTGAGAGGGTGCAGTGATACTATGTGAGTCAGGGTGCAGTGACACTGTGAGTCAGGGCAGTGACACTGTGAGTCAGGGGGCAGTGACACTATGTGAGTCAGGGTGCAGTGACACTGTGAGTCAGGGTGCAGTGACACTATGTGAGTCAGGGTGCAGTGGCACCATGTGAGAGGGTGCAGTGATACTATGTGAGTCAGGGTGCAGTGACACTATGTGAGTCAAGTAGCAGGTGAGAATTGACTAAAATCTGGGGAGAGGGAAGTTGCACGTCCTCACAAGGATGAATTATCACTTCATTTCAGGATCTACTAGGATACATAAGTACAGCTGTACTGATTCTGGACAGGGCAGTGTCAGAGATCATCTGGAACTGTGTCAACAAGACTGTATCTCCCTCCTCCAGCCTCCAACTGAACCTGTGACGGATTCATTCATACATGCGGGTCAGTGGAGCTGGCTGCACTACACCGCTCCCTGCTATCTTTATGTGTGTTGCGTCACCTTGCATGTCGCTGATAACACCAAAATGGTCATAAATCATGCACTTAAAAAAGTATCCTTGGGATTAGGAAAACACTTAACAGTTTTGGAACCACACTTCGGTGGCACAAATGTGTATTTCATCAAGTTGGGGGCTTCCAATTGTCAAGATAGCATGATATATGTGAAGAATATATAATATTGGACATGTGTATCACTGCTCAGCTGGACTCAGTTTGGATTAAAAGTTTTATAAATGTGAATATATTTAAAGTGTACATGAAAATTCTTAAATCTGAATGAGTATAGACTACATTTGCCCTGTAAAAGTAGATGCTGTAATTATGGAAATATTATCAACTGAACCATCATATCTTTCTTACCAAATTTATAATCTCAGATGAGGTATATTTCAATACCTTGCAAGAATATGAATAAACCAAAACATAGCTGCTAGTTATAACGGCTTGCCCCACCCAGCTCTGCATATGGCTGATGGTATCCTGTGAGCGAACAGCACACAGACTGGGTGAACACCATCCTGTGAGTGAACACTACACACTAGGTGAACACCATCCTGTGAGTGAACACTTCACACACTAGGTGAACACACCATCCTGTGAGTGAACACAACACACACTAGGTGAACACACCATCCTGTGAGTGAACACTACACACTAGGTGAACACCATCCTGTGAGTGAACACTACACACATTAGGTGAACACCATCCTGTGAGTGAACACTACACACTAGATGAACACCATCCTGTGAGTGAACACTACACACTAGGTGAACACCATCCTGTGAGTGAACACTACACACATTAGGTGAACACCATCCTGTGAGTGAACACTACACACTAGATGAACACCATCCTTTGAGTGAACACTACACACTAGGTGAACACCATCCTGTGAGTGAACACTACACACTAGATGAACACCATCCTGTGAGTGAACACTACACACTAGGTGAACACCATCCTGTGAGTGAACACTACACACATTAGGTGAACACCATCCTGTGAGTGAACACTACACACTAGATGAACACCATCCTTTGAGTGAACACTACACACTAGGTGAACACCATCCTGTGAGTGAACACTACACACAGGTGAAAACCATCCTGTGAGTGAACACTACACACTAGGTGAACACCATCCTGTGAGTGAACACTACACACTAGGTGAACACCATCCTGTGAGTGAACACTACACACTAGGTGAACACCATCCTGTGAGTGAACACTACACCCTAGGTGAACACCATCCTGTGAGTGAACACTACACACATTAGGTGAACACCATCCTGTGAGTGAACACTACACACTAGGGTGAACACCATCCTGTGAGTGAACACTACACACTAGGTGAACACCATCCTGTGAGTGAAAACTTCACATTAGGTGAACACCATCCTGTGAGTGAACACCACACATTAAGTGAACACACCACTCTGTGAGTGAAAACTTCACACTAGGTGAATACCATCCTGTGAGTGAACACTTCACACACTGGGTGAACACACCAACCTGTGAGTGAACACTAGGTGAACACACCATCCTGTGAGTGAACACTACACACTAGGTGAACACACCATTCTGTGAGTGAACACTTTACACACTTGGTGAACACCATCTTATGAGTGAACACTTTACACACTACTAGTAGGTGAACACACCATCCTGTATGTCACAGTGATGTCTCGATGATGTTGGAATGAAGTCGCAATGTTGTCACAATGTTCTAGAGTGACATCACAATCAAGGTCACAGAGATGTAACAGTGTGTTACACGTCCACAAAGAATCACTACCCATCTATGTTGCCTTGGGACAATTCCACCAAACAGGAACAGTCTTGTGAATATGTTGAACATTGTGATACTTCTTTCAGGAAGGTCTTATGGACATTTTATGACTACTTCAGGATGTGTCACATTAGTTAAAACAGGGTTATCCCCCTTACAGTATTGAGACGTGAAGCTTCTTCTTCAGTTAATTTTGATTCCGTTCTTGTAAATATGACAACTATGGATTGTAAAAATGAATGGTTGCTTGACTCTGTGAAGTGCTGTCCCTCTAAAAGCACATGTCAATGAAACAAATGAACAGATGTATTGCTTTTAAACAACCACCTCAAATATGACCCTGTCAATATATATATGTACATACATTCTATTGATTAAGAAAACCTGTGAAAACAAAAAACCAAGAGGAGGTCATTCTCTTATCAATTGAACTGTCATGCTAAATCCTAGATTCATTCTGACTGTGAGCATTTTGCCCATATTCTCATATAGCTTCAAAGCGGAGGCCATCTAAGAGTGAGTGAGTGAGTCAGTTGGGTTTTACGCCGCTTTTAGCAATTTTCCAGCAATATCACGGCGGGGTACACCATAAACAGCATCACAAGCTGGGTGTGGCCAAGTCCTTCCTACACAGACTGGTTACTGGTAAGCCTTGCCTAGCATAACCTTGATGGAGAGTAGTGACTGAGAGTCTTATGTCAGTAGCCCACTAAGAGTGATTGAGTTGGGTTTTACGCCGCTTTTAGCAATTTTCCAGCAATATCACGGCAGGGTACACCATAAACAGCATCACAAGCTGGGTGTCGCCATATCCTTCCTACACAGACTGGTTACTGGTAAGCCTTGCCTAGCATAACCTTGACGGAGAGTAGTGACTGAGAGTCTTATGTCAGTAGCCCACTAAGAGTGATTGAGTTGGGTTTTACACCGCTTTTAGCAATATTCCAGCAATATCACGGCAGGGGACACCATAAACCGATGTCCTTTTCAAACTGAAAATGCTGACATGTTGTCATGTACATAAAATAGAGTTTATTGCAGTATTGAATCCAAACGTCCTTGATGTTACATTGATCCAGGTGAGCTAACTGTGTCGTCTTTGGCCGAACCCTGGCTGAAGGAACCTTGTACCCACTGTATAAGTGGGTGAATGTCAAGGTCATGACCCTATCTCTGTATGCTTGTTCCAAATGTTGGATGTGTATCCCTTGGTATTAAACTTGAGAACAGAGGACATGTCGATGTTCTGGAACAACTCGAGGCGATGGCTGCAACAAAACATCACATACTGTGGATATGTACAAGCTTTCAGTAATTGCTTAATGATCTATTTATAGTTAATACCCTTGCTGGGTCTGCAGTTTATCTGGAAATTATATATATAACAGTGGAGGAAAACATGTGTTATGACTTGTTTCACAACTGTACATGTCAAGAGAACCCCAATGCAAAACTAGAAACAGCCTGACTGTTGAGAGAAGGCATTCACTTGCATCTGTTGGGGGCAAAGATGTATCATTTCAGTAGAGATGAACCATTTACAAGAGAGTAACCATTTCTGGCAATGTCAGATACCAACTAACCTCCTACATGCACTACTTACAAGTCTGGATCTGTAAACTGTCCTTTGGTGGCAGGACACAGAGATTCATACACCCGCTTGTCTCCCGAGCCATGGATAGCGTATGCATTGAACCGTGTCACACAACAGGGGAAGTAACTGTGAGGCAGAGTTGTCTCCCCTGTCCATGTGTCACCATTGATGTTAGCTGTGAACTGTAGGGGAAGCTGATCCTAGAGGAGAAATGAATGGAAAACAGTCATATAAATTCAATAATTAATTTCATCTGCTCTCAGCCAGTATGGGTCGTATTCTAATAGAGGTACTGTATTTTGTATTACACTGCTACACGCAGATGTCCGAAGTGATGCAGGTAACATCTACCACATGTGCAGAATGTACAACTATGTTGCCTTTAAGCCCAGGGATCATAACCTGAGATTCCAAACATGGTCAGCTGATCCTGACACAGCTAGGGTGGGCAACTCTTGACACAAAGTCATGACACCATAAAACACGAGTTAGCATGTGGCCCTGTGTGAGTGAGTTTGATGATTACACTGCTCGTTAAGTTACCTGAACGATGTTGCGACGACCCTTCAGAAGTAGCAGCAGATGTTGTCCATGTCTGCAACACACAGTGAACAGTATCACAGACTGGTTACTGGTAAGCCTTGCCTAGCATAACCTTGATGGAGAGTACCGAGAGAGTCTTATGTCAGTCTACTCTAATGAATCAGTTTTGCCTAAGACTATACATCCTAGATAATCTCCAGGGTATACGTTCCGATAAATCTCCACTGTACCCTGGATGCATCTACGGCTCGAGCCGATGATTTTATTACCTCCCTTTGCTGGCTCCGCATTCTCACAGTAGCCAATCATATAAGCCGCCGTTACAACCGAGCTTGCCAGTGTCAACAAAGATAGCGGTTGCAGCCGCGAATGTTTGTTCGCAGTGCGACTCAGATTTGGGGGAAAAACATACAGACAAATTGACAGGTCTGAAATCTTAAAAACATATATATGCAACAACACCTTCTACCTCTTTCAGAGTACCTCTGCAACAATATATTATTGTGTTGCCAAGTTTAGTCGGTTAGATAATTTAAAAAGTGAAAGTGAGTTGTGATTGGTATGCTCAACTTCCCACCGTAGACACCTGATTGGATAAAAAGCCAACCAAGGGAGGTAATAAAATCATCGGCTCGAGCCTTAGATGCATCCAGGGTTTAGTGGAGATTTATCGGAACGTATACCCTGGAGATTATCGAGGATGACGACTATATAATGTATTCACTTATTTTAATTCACATATCTTCTCACATGTTGGGGGACTATTTATAGCATTTATTCAGGTTGTATGTGCTTCATTAAATATGTTTACAATTATTCAGCAAAAACAGATCATGCACAATGCACAAGTCTTCCTTGAATTTTCTCTCCAGTTATGAATGCTTTTGTATTTATCTTCTTCAAACAACAAAACAACCAAGTTTTCTTCTGATCATGTTGGACCTAAGGGGAGATAACTCACGGACACAACTCCACCTCAAGGTATTCGTCTCTGTCATTCAGGAAGAATGCCTCCACCACTGAAATGAAACACATTCTATCAGAGGAAACAATACTGTGTATGCTTTCATTTCATCAAAACTGAAGTAAAACCACTGCTTTCTAATAACAAACCTATGAAACTGAAAAATAATGTTAACAAACCTTTCCACCTAAACTTCCCGGTTTTCACACTTTTCCTACCTCACTTTCATATTTAAAATACCGAATAAAAACATCTCTATTTTCAGTGTCGAATATTTTATCGTTGACGTAAAGGGCATGTGACACACTGTTCTCCATCTACTGCTGTACATTTGTACATAATTAGATGTGTGTATACTTGTAGATACTGGTGTAAACAAATGGACACTCCATGTTTGAATCCCTGGCTGTTGTAGCTGGTCGAGTGGAGGCGACTAACAGATCGGATCGTCCACTTGGTTAATGAGGTAGAAACATATGTCTGGTCGTTGCTCACATTTTTCAGTCACTGGATTATCTGTACCAAACTTGAATAATTACATGCCACTGCTCACACTTCCACAAATTGCAATAAACATTTAATGTTCATAATGTTTTCCGATACAAGGATACCCTCCAAGTCATCCGCACTAGTGTTGGGAATTGGTTAAAATTTCATAATTGATGATTGGTTCATTACAACCGATCAATCATCGAAAATAATTGGTTAGTGTCATTTATGAAATTTGTTAATGCACAAACAACAGGGGCGGATACAGCTTTTTGAGATAGGGGGGTGCACACTATTGAGAAAAGGAGGGGTGCACACTTCATTCTCACCCGAGTATGGTCATTTAACAAACTTTCAGCACAAAAGGGGAGGTGCGCACCCCTGCACCCCCACTCTGGATCCGCCTATGAACAATAAGGAAAAGAAACATGTAGTTCTTTGGGGGTTTGGGGCAAAATTTCACATCTTTAAAGGAGACTAGTATGTTAGGAACATACATTAAGATAAATTCAATCATGACTTGGAAAGAGCTTGTAGTGCTTATGAAATGTAACAGACAAAACCAATCTTGTGAAAAATATTGTTAATGAAAACAAGTGTTCCAGAATTGTTTGTGTTCGATTATAAGAAAACATGATCGATTGCTTGGTCGTTTAGTCAATGCAACCAATCTTCGATTATTTCAATTAATCGGACCACCACTAATCCGCACTGTCGAAATTGTACAAAGGGAAACATTTACCTACCAAGTGCTTGAAGCAGAGACACCATTCCGAGAAACACATGAGACTTAAAAAATACATATACTGTTTCGTTTGTTCTTTAACACAATATTCTGTTAAAAACCAGAACAGGCAGTCGAGTGAGTGAGTGAGTGAGTGACCGAGCAAGCAAGTGAGTGACCTTCTTTCTTTGATACCAGATTTGAGGAAGGAAAAGCCTATATGGAATGTAGGAAAACATAAATACAAAAACACACTTCAGCCCTTCAGCCATTCATCAGTTTTAAAGAACACTGGAGTACATTACGTAAACAAGCAATGTCTTGTCCGATATTGACTCATATCAGGTGTGTGATAAAACCACTGTAAAGCAGGGTATCCCCAGCTGATCATTCCGTATAACAAACAAAGCCAGGATGATAACCAGTGCCCCGTTTCCCAATGCTATCATAGCATTATGGTGATCGTAACTTTCATGCTCTGACACAGGCTTACGACAGCGCTACGATCGTTTTGTGCAATGGGACACCAGACAACAAGGTGTTCCTAACCCTGATGAATGGCTGTCGGTATTCTCTGTCCTGGTTGTTTAGAACAACACCACTTAATACTTAAATCCATCCCAGCATCTTGTCAAAGGAAAATTTCAGCCAGATAAAAAAACACTTTCTTCTTTATCCTAATAAGAGTGTTTGAGTGTCTTATCTAAGATTATTCACATTTTTAATTCATCAACTGCAACAATAAAAATCTTCTTTAAAAACAAAGAACAAAGTTTCTATTAGCAGGAAAAGACACACGAAGAAGTCTTGTCCCATGTCCACACGGTGTAAACAGCCCCACAGCAAGCTGCGCCTGGTGTTGGCCCACGGAGCCCAAGTGCTAATATCTTAATACCAGCCCACAGTAATTTGCACCGGAGTCAAGGTCATTGCAGAAGTTGTCAGACCAGCAAACTGTTCAACCATCTGATCAGTCAGACATTCTCGATGGCCATACATCACACATGTAGCATATTTAATTAATAACTACATGCTCATAACTCTGGGACAAAGTCATGCTATTTTTCAATACTAGTCTGCAATGGCTGTCACTTACAAAAGTATGTTTGGTCAATACCAGTGAAAATTCCTAACATCCTTTTTTCTGTTAACATTTGAGAAACTGATGCACAGTGAGAGTTTCCATATTGTTTTCCGGTCATGTTACTTAGGAGGGTCTCACATATGGCAGTACAATTTGACTGTCTGTAGTATAATGTGTCTGTCTGTAGTGTAATGTGTCTGTCTGTACAATTTGTCTGTCTGTAGTATAATGTGTCTGTCTGTAGTGCAATGTGTCTGTCTGTAGTACAGTGGATCTGTCTGACAATGTGTCTGTCTGTGCAATGTGTCTGTCTGTAGTACAATTTGTCTGTCTGTAGTATAATGTGTCTGTCTGTAGTACAGTGGGTGTGTCTGACAATGTGTCTGTCTGTAGTACAATCTGTCAGCTGTACAATGTGTCTGTCTGTAGTACAATATGTCTGTCTGTAGTGTAATGTGTCTGTGTGTAGTACAATGTGCCTGACTGTAGTACAATATGTCTGTCTGTAGTGTAATGTGTCTGTCTGTAGTACAGTGGGTCTGTCTGTAGTACAATGGGTCTGTGTGGAGTATCTGTAGTACAATGTGCCTGACTGTAATACAATGTGTCTGTCTGTAGTACAATCTGTCTGCTGTACAATGTGTCTGTCTGTAGTACAATGTGTCTGTCTGTTGTACAATCTGTATGAACACCAGCTATGGCATCCCTCTGTTACACTGTAACTGTTTCAGTCAGTACTGCCCACCGTTTCCCTCCACAGCAGACAATCTAATACCTGGTGACACTTGGCTAATGGCTGTCTAACAGCTTGGTAATAGGATTTGGACTCAAGTGGACTTCTGTGAGAGAATCAGCTCTGGACGTGATTAGCCCTTAATGACATACATACACTGATGTCCACACAACCCAAACCAGTCGAGCTTGGAGGTCCATCCCTCTGGCATTGTCTCATATGATGTTTATATGTAATATCATCTAGTGAAATAAGTCACACAATAAGTCACTGAATATTTAAATGTCTGATATCGGTGACTTTGGTCTCATGGGAGTGTTCCTGAACTGATACAGGAAATCTTCTGATCACATGATGATAGTCAGGTAAACTGAGTGAGTGCCTCTTTCAGCAATACCACCAGTACTGAGCTACAGATGTTCCCTTTGATAACAATCAAACACTGGTACTTTACTTGCCTGGCAAATACCTTACATGGGCGGATCCAGGAATTTTGAAAGGGGGGTTCGAACCCCCTGAACCCCCCCTCTGGATCCGCCAATGCCTTAACAACAGGGCTGCCGCACTGATAGGTATTACCGTATTCAACTCAATAAGCTTGTTGTCTGCATGGCTAGGGGTGCAGTACTATGGGGGCACGGTGACTCACGGATGGATACATGGATGGTGGGTGGGTGTAGCAAGTGAAGAATGCAATACATCGGGTGTATCATGACCTGACACTGTCTGACAGTACCGTTACCATAGCTACCAGCTTACCTACCTTCATAGTCCCACAGACCTGGAACAGGTGCCCCTTTCTCACCGGGCGGGGCAGGGGGTCATTGAAGAATGGGGCACGTACAGTCATGTGACACCCATCTTCATGTGCAGAGAGCTTGATCTGGACTGGTGGGTGAGTGAGGCGGTCGCCGTCCCACGTAGATGCCACATTGAAGTCCCTGTCAGTACACAGAGAGGCTTATTAAGTGAGTCCGATAATATTATACAATACTTCAGTCACCAATATGTCAGCAGCAGCTAGCTAATTATACAGCTAATTAATATTCTTGATGAGGTCAAAGTGTGAAAACAAGGACCCAAGGACCTGACGCCTGAGGCGGACTGACCTGACCAGACCACCTCAAGGGCCAGGTCCCCAGGGTCCATGGCTTCACATATTGACCCTGTCAAGAGCTGTCATACATTAAGTTACATTGAAATTCACTTTAAAGTTCACGAAGCCTTTAAACTTCCCCATTTCATAACAGCAACTGTGAACCGTGAAAGGTTCTACCAGACGTCATCTTGTTTTCTAACCATGAGTCAATATCCAAGGTCAAGAGTCACGTGATCTGGGGTCTACACTGAATTGTAATGTTTTGGCACACAGAATCGATTAACCAATAAAATTGCAACATTATCATACTGGTACACTGTATCAGGCTTCCCAAGCGATAAATATTCAAATATCTTTCCTATATTTTTGTAAATATGACAGAAAAAATATTATGAGTTGAAGAGTGGCATGGTTTTACCTTAAACCTTAGTCTGTCATACTGACCCTGGAACAACCATACCCAACACAGCCCATGCAAGTCTGTCATACTGACCCTGAAACAAACATACCCAACACAGCCCATGCAAGTCTGTCATACTGACCCTGAAACAACATACCAAACACAGCCCATGCAAGTCTGTCATACTGACCCTGAAACAACATACCCAACACAGCCCATGCAAGTCTGTCATACTGACCCTGAAACAACCATACCCAACACAGCCCATGCAAGTCTGTCATACTGACCCTGAAACAACATACCCAACACAGCCCATGCAAGTCTGTCATACTGACCCTGAAACAACCATACCCAACACAGCCCATGCAAGTCTGTCATACTGACCCTGAAACAACATACCCCAACACAGCCCATGCAAGTCTGTCATACTGACCCTGAAACTGTCAACATACCCAACACAGCCCATGCAAGTCTGTCATATTGACCCTGAAACAACATACCCAACACAGCCCATGCAAGTCTGTCATACTGACCCTGAAACAACCATACCCAACACAGCCCATGCAAGTCTGTCATACTGACCCTGAAACATACCCAACACAGCCCATGCAAGTCATACTGACCCTGAACAACATACCCAACACAGCCCATGCAAGTCTGTCATACTGACCCTGAAACAACATACCCAACACAGCCCATGCAAGTCTGTCATACTGACCCTGGAAACAACATACCCAACACAGCCCATGCAAGTCTGTCATACTGACCCTGAAACAACATACCCAACACAGCCCATGCAAGTCTGTCAACACTGACCATACTGACCCTGGAACAACATACCCAACACAGCCCATGCAAGTCTGTCATACTGACCCTGAAACAAACAACATACCCAACACAGCCCATGCAAGTCTGTCATACTGACCCTGGAAACAACATACCCAACACAGCCCATGCAAGTCTGTCATACTGACCCTGGAACAAACATACCCAACACAGCCCATGCAAGTCTGTCATACTGACCCTGAAACAACATACCCAACACAGCCCATGCAAGTCTGTCATGTACTGACCCTGAAACAACATACCCAACACAGCCCATGCAAGTCTGTCATACTGACCCTGGAAACAACATACCCAACACAGCCTGCAAGTCTGTCATACTGACCCTGAAACAACATACCCAACACAGCCCATGCAAGTCTGTCATACTGACCCTGAAACAACATACCCAACACAGCCCATGCAAGTCTGTCATACTGACCCTGAAACAACATACCCAACACAGCCCATGCAAGTCTGTCATACTGACCCTGAAACAACCATACCCAACACAGCCCATGCAAGTCTGTCATACTGACCCTGAAACAACATACCCAACACAGCCCATGCAAGTCTGTCATACTGACCCTGAAACAACATACCCAACACAGCCCATGCAAGTCTGTCATACTGACCCTGGAAAAACCATACCCAACACAGCCCATGCAAGTCTGTCATACTGACCCTGAAACAACATACCCAACACAGCCCATGCAAGTCTGTCATACTGACCCTGAAACAACATACCCAACACAGCCCATGCAAGTCTGTCAACATACCCAACACAGCCCATGCAAGTCTGTCATACTGACCCTGGAACAACATACCCAACACAGCCCATGCAAGTCTGTCATACTGACCCTGGAAACAACATACCCAACACAGCTCCATGCAAGTCTGTCACACAGCCCATGCAAGTCTGTCATACTGACCCTGAAAAACAACATATACCCAACACAGCCCATGCAAGTCTGTCATACTGACCCTGAAACAACTTACCCAACACAGCCCATGCAAGTCTGTCATACTGACCCTGGAAACAACATACCCAACACAGCCCATGCAAGTCTAGATTATGATATTTTCAGGGAACAGTCTGAAGAAAGTTGAGCTTCATACTGACCTCTTGGAGTGAGTTTAGAACACCACACTCAGCAATAATCCAGGTATATAAATGGACCGGCGGTCTGTAAATAATCAAGTCTGGACCAGACAATCCAGTGATCAACAGCATGAGCATTGATCTGCACAATTGGGTACCAATGACATGTGTCAACCACCTAACGATCCTGTTAGTCAATATTCTAACACAGCTCCATGCAAGTCTGATACCTCTGGAGTTATAGTACTGGAGGCCAGATCTGATCAGGAACCAAACTGCTGTTTTATGATAGAGTGGCTGATCCAAGTCCCCCTCTGTCTCCCCACAAAAATTTCCCTGAGGAGCATTTCCCCTAACCCTTGGACTTCATGATTTATGTGCACCTCTGGATCCTGGATCCGCTCCTGCCAGTATTGGTGATTTTATGAATGAGTGAGTCAATGTAATGGCCAGTATGTCTGTATCATATCACCCTCCCTTATAAACAGACCCTTGGGTTACTGATATCAACTTTACTCAAAATCTTCATACGTTTTTGTAAAGAAATATATGGCACCATTGGACAGGAATTTATAAGTATGATATATGATAATCATATCCTGTCAAGCCATGTGACTGAGATGGAACGTATGTTTGACAACCTAAGATAAGCATTTATTATATTCAAGAGATTTGGGGTGGGGTGTGGGGGTTTCATTCAAAATATGATATTGACTGCCACAGTGGAATACCGCCCTTCATCATAAGCCAACACTCCTGCTGAATAAACTGTTTTGACGAACACAATACCTCACTGAATACACCAAACAATACCTATAAGGACGTATGACGTAAACTCATATCGATTTTATAGATTCGAACTCTGAATCCGTGCGACAGCTGGCGATACAGATCCCTCCTTCTCACCATCTCACACGCCACTGATCAATGGAACACAGTTTCCACATGTTGACGCTTACTCTAGACACATAGACAGCTTCTGAAGAATACCGAGATCGGCCTGCCATACCCGCTTCTACGCTGGTACATAGTGTATATAGAAAAAGACACTTACATACTTCACGCTCTAGTTCCGTTAGACCCTGTTAGTCGACAAACCGCGTGGAGCGTGTGTTCTACAGCCACGCCCACGTCCGATCACCTCCCAGTCCCGTCAACCAGTGACGACTATCTAACATGGCGTAACAACGCTTCCGTGAGAAAACTTTCCCAATTATCGCGTTTCGAAGAATGCTACGCTGCTTCAACTCACATCGTGTCCCTTCAGCCGTGTCTTGAACGTTTCACAGGTGCGCGTGCAACAAAGCAAGTCACATGATCACTTGGTGACCTGCCCTCTCTCCGTGGCCATATTTGTTGTTTTAAGACATAGCGACTGAGTAAGTGGCTTGTACAGTGTTGGGGATAAGCCAACTGTGGACGAGATACCGTGTCTGACAGCGCTAGGACGATTCACGCCAACATTGGACTAAAACCACGACACAGGTAAGACTTATTAACCGGCTTGCCTGTCCAGATTTGTCAGAAACATGAAAGGATTGCCGATTGGCAGGTATTCCGATGGTGACAGCATGTTTTCTCAGTGAGGGTACAGCTCTGATTTCCTGACTCGGGGGTAGCTGTGTTATGCATGTCTTACTCAGCACCACAATCATATAACGCCATTTCACAGGTGTAAAAGGTAGAGAGGAGTTAATTTATGACACCTTTAGGTGTATTGATGTGTATGATTGGTGTATACATTAGGCGTGTACACCCTCAATACACTGCCTTCCCCTTTTCCAAGTGAAATATTTCATATATCTTTCCATTGTTAAGAAATGACAGTTTTGTGAGTAGAAAGAACAGTGGGAAAGTGTTTGCTGGGTCATAATCCAGGTATGGTGAGACAGGTGAGAGGGAAGGGGAGGCTATTGTGATGACCCTTGAGTGGTTCTTTAAAACAGGGTTAGCTCACCTGATTCATGGACCACTGACTACACCTGCCTCTCCCGCCATTGTCTCCAACATTACTGACGTCCAAGTATCCCAAACAATAAAACAAATTTCACATGATTCTCTTCGTCATAATAATAATAATAATAATAATTTCTTTGTGTGGTATGTAATTAGTCATTTGAACAAATTACCAATATTGAAGTGTACTGTACCAGTGACTATTAAAAAACGGTAAGACTTCCACCTGTATCCCCCCTAAATTTTAACGATGAGGAAAAATGTGTTTGAGTGGCATTTTTAGAAGTTTGATGTGTCTTTCAGTAAGTTCAGATGCAATTAAAGAAACATGTTAAAACTCATCCTTATCAGATGAGGAATATATATTCAGGTGATATGATTTGACTAGAATGAAATTTAAAGGGGGATACGGGCGGAAGTCTTTCCATAACTGCCTCGATAACTACTCAGGCATTACTATTGATAGCTATGCCATTCATCCGTACATAAGGTTTAGCTGACATAACTACGTACGGTACAACTATTAATAACTATTGGTAATGACATGTGGTATAACTGGTCATAACCACCTAACATGTAACTAGTGATAACTACGTGGGATAGAACTATTGATTATTACACAGGGTATAACTGTTCATACTAGATAAGGTATCTTCAGATAACTAAACATTATACACATACTTTAATAAAAGAAGTTAATATCAGCTGCCACCACTCCTATTATCTTGAGGAAACACGCTTTGATAAAACTTGATCAGACAGCTAGAGATGTCCAGAGTTTGGAGGTTGTGACATACCGGTAGTCAAAGGAGTGCTGAACGATTTCAGGATGTATTGTGAGATTTTTAGGATGAGTGGACCAGTGAATCATTTCACTCATTATTATGAGATTTCTGTTTAAATTGTCTGATAGTCACTGAGATATGCCTTAAAGATTACTGTCAGCTGTCTGACTTTGTATGCAGTTATCCTTGTTTCCTTATAGTCTAACTTAAACAATGATTACTGGGACTCTTTTATGAGTTTAACAGTAAAGTTTTCAGTATATGTTTTGTGAATGGTTGCCAGGTTACCTTGTGTTAATAACTGCTCATTTTGTTGCTCTTAAAGAGGGACCAGACTTGGGCTGACCCAGTCAGTTTGATTCATGTCATTCAACCACTATATTATATCTCTGGTAACACAATCTTTATGATGTAAATCAATCCACCAGTTAACGGCTACTTTAGGCGGAGACCACTGTAAACATGATATGTCCAATCAACAGTGGAGCAGGATAACCTCTTAACACATTGATAAAATACATCAAAGGTTCACTATGTGTTTTAGTCAGGAGCAGTGTTGAACAGTTTCTGATCTGGGTATTAGAGGTCGGTCATCATCTGTTGTTTGTTGATGGTATAACATATTGAAGTAGAAAATAATGTTAAAAACCCATAATTCTCCTGTTATATTGCACTTGATCCACACAGGTATTCTATAAGCACATATTAGTCTGTTTATACCCTGGCCAGGATTTAGTGGTCATTCAAATTATATTCCCCTATCCCTGGGGAGCATACAGCCATGTGACATCAACACCAACAAATAACTCAGTATGAAATTAAATAGAAATAAGCCCACTTCTCCTATTACACTGTATAACCATGTGTTGGTGTGTGGGTTGATGATGATGATGATGATGATGATGATGATGATGATGACTGTGATTGTGATTTAGAGATTCAATGTGCGCTCTCCGACATAATGCATATTTCGCACACTGGCCCGCCAGGCCATTTAGTGTGTGATTTTGTATGGGTTTAATATTATAATCCCCAGATATATACCACATGTCCACTGTTACAGTATATCTGTGACATTAACCACACATGTCCGATGGATGTAAGTTGGTGGAGACTGCTGGTTGTTATACAGACATCATGTTCCTGTGAACGTTGTACTTTGTCCTGTACAGACAACTTGGGACAAAGGCTGTACAGATGTGCAGTAAGGGGCACCTGCTGATGTGGTGTGTATAGGGATTTATCACATGTCAAGAGGGACACTAAACAAGCTCAATGTGCATCTGTAATATTCTTGGTGCAGCCAGAGACACGCTTGCTGTTTGTCCAACAGGGCCTTATATGGTGTGATGATACGCTGAGATGCTGGAGATTAGGAGGGATAGTTTATAACTTGACATATAGTTGTACAAGCAAAAGTTTGCCGTATGTTAATATGAATTTCATCAAAAGTTTGCCTTATGTTGATATGAATTTCATCAAAAGTTTGCCGTATGTTAATATAAATTTCATCAAAAGTTTGCATCAAGCACTGCACATAGTTCTAGTTAAAAGTTGTAAATATCTTTATTTCAAGTTCAAGGTCACAGGCCCATACAGCATGACATTACAGAGATACATTATTGATTAGAATTATTACGTATGTTAATATCTTTTACAATTTCATTGCATTAGTTGATATAAATTTTGATAGCTAAAGTAGTAGTTCCCATGTTAATATCAATTTCATCAAGTGTTCAAGATGTTGAGATCAATTTAAATAAAAATGGAGTATGTTAATTTTTATTAAGCACTTGTGATTCTGAAATTCTTGACATAATAATCAATTTCATCAAAAGTTTGCCTTATGTTAATATCAATTTCATCAAAAGTTTGCCTTATGTTAATATCAATTTCATCAAAAGTTTGCCGTATGTTAATATAAATTTCATCAAAAGTTTGCATCATGCACTGCACATAGTTCTAGTTACAAGTTGTAAATATCTTTCTGAGGAACATAGTAGAAAACTTGATGTGCCACATTTGTCACTTCTTAAAGGTGATGCAGTGCAAACACAGCCATGAACCAGTCTGTAAGAATAGCATCAATGTGGTTGTTGCCCTACTTGACACATTTCTTACATTGGCAGTAGTGAATGACATCACAGCATCAACATGTCGGAGATCCGGGAAATGGGTCTTCCCACATAACAAGGACCTCTTCATTATTGTCCTGCAGAACGAATAAACATGTTTTCATTAAATTCAGCCTTCTTGATGATCCCAAAATCTTTCTAATGAAGATGAAGATAAATAATTAGAAACAAGGTTTGTAACTTTTGGAGACTGCACAAAAGCCAGATAGGTAGCCAGAGGGTCTGACTTACTGCAGTACTGGTGCAGCGTTTCCCATTGCCTGTAGGGAAGTGCAGCTGTTAAGCTGAGTGTTAAAACTTGTTTCTCTTTACGGAGTCCATAATGTTTCCACTGACTTTTATGTTGAAATAAGTACCATTACCCTACAGTAGCAGTCCATTGGCATGTAACACTGCCGTTATGATGCAGAATTGCTGACACGACATGATCTGCCGATTATAACGTAGCTGTCGGAACTTCAGGGAACATTGTAGCCAAGTGTGCAGACTTTGTCATTAGAAAGGTTGTTGTGACATGATACAACATGGACAAGTTGCAGCCCTGTGACACAGAAATAGCGTTTATATATATACCTATAACTTGCTTGTACAGGTAAATCCAGGTGACGGACGCAGCATTCTTGAAGCTGTTAACACTGAGTGACGCCTAGAACACGACAGGTGATTGGGTCTGGCCAAACATGGACGAGATGTTTGATGATCCTCCTTTTGAAGAACACAAATACTGTGTTTGTCTGGTCATTGGAAATTAGTTTTGGAATCTCGGCAATAGAATAACATGTCAGAGATCTATCATGGTGTCCTCAGAGATCAAAGATGTAGATGGATCACTCCTCCAGGTGGAACTGAAATATTACATTCCTTGAATCAGGTTACAATAATACCATACCGCGGAAACCGTTTTCCAATGAAATCGACAGTATTCAATAGTCAGATGTAATAGAAATGTTTGGTAAACTACAATAGTCACAAACATTTGAGAAAATATTTGAAACTGACTGTTTCTTTTACAGCTGGTTATGATTTTCTTGCTGTCGGCAAAGCATATTGCCGCCAATGATTCTCTTCTAGATAATACTAATTACTTACAAGTCAACGTAATAAACCAGAATAATGAAATTTCAAAGTGTG